CCCTTTCGGTCCTCAACCCCCAGGGGCTGTCGCAGGAGCCCGCGGCTCCAAGGCGGCTGTTGCCCTGCATGCGCCTACACTTCCCTGATCGAGGCAGCTCGTCTGGCAGGAGGAGGAGGAGGAGGAGGAGGGGGAGTAGCGGGAGGAGGAGGAGGAAGGGAGGAGGAGGAGGAGGAGGAGGAGGAGGAGGAGGATGAGGAGGAGGAGGAGGGAGGACGGGGAGGAGGAGGCGAGGAGGAGGGGGAGGAGAGGGAGGGAGGAGGAGGAGGAGAGGAGGAGGAGGAGGGAGGAGGAGGAGGAGGAGGAGGAGGATGAGGCGGAGGAGGAGGAGGAGGGGGAGGAGGAGAGGAGGAGGAGGGAGGAGGAGGAGGGGGAGGGAGGAGGAGGAGAGGAGGGGAGGAGGAGAGGAGGAGGAGGAGGAGGAGGAGGAGGAGAGGAGGAGGGGAGGAGGAGGAGGAGGAGGAGGTGAGGAGGAGGAGGATGAGGAGGAGAGGAGGAGGAGGAGGAGGAGGAGGAGGAGGAGGAGGGGAGGAGGAGGGGGAGGAGGAGGGGGAGGAGAGGAGGAGGAGGAGGAGGAGGCGGAGGAGGTAGGCGGAGGAGGAGGAGGAGGAGGGAGGAGGAGGAGGAGGAGGAGGAGGAGGAGGAGGAGGAGGAGGAGGAGGAGGAGGAGGAGGAGGAGGAGGAGGATGGAGAGGAGGAGGAGGAGGGGGATGAGAAGCGTCAAGAATTGGAATGCCCTTAGGCCCTTTCGGCCCTCAACCCTCAGGGGATGCTGCAAGAGCCCGAGGCATGGCGCGCGCCTCCCGGGGACCATCGCGCAACGCCTCCCGAGGCCCAAGGGCCCCCAGGACGGGACAAAGGCAGCCCGAGGGGCCGCCGGAGACTGCGAAGCGGGGATTTATCCATGCCCACCGTCCGGGAACCGACGTCCTGGTGCCCAAGCGGGCGGTGGATGTGGATATCGGCGGTGGACAAACCTCCCTTTAGCAAACCTCCCTTTAATGAAAACGGCCTGGGACCGAAACCGACGGACCTGGACCCGCAAAAATGACGGCCGGGACGCCCTCCCGCGAACCGAAAACGGCCAATTCACTAATCGACGTGTCAGGGTAGGAGGTCTGTCCACCCCCGAGGATATACTTCGGCCACGAGGGGCCCGAAGATGTCCATGTCCACCGCCTGCCACGGCTCCGAAAACTGACCCTTCAGGCGGTGGTCATGTAGAAATTCCCGGCCCGGAGAGACGGCCTGCGAGGCCCCCAGGACGAGTTCCTCCCAAGGCGGCCCCAGGAGGGGGAACCACGAACTGGCGTTCAGAGGCCCCCGAAGAGCCCTCGAGAAGCCCAAAGAGGCCCCCGAGAAGCCCCAAGAGGCCCCGAAGGAGCCCCCAAAAAACTCCCGAGAGCCCTGCACGAGGCATCCCACGGGCCTCTGACCCGCAACCCAACGATGGTGGCGGGATGGGCCGCAGGCCGCTAGATGTATGCACTGGGGGCCTGAAGGCGGTCTGGGCGATGATGGGGAGCGATGGGGGGGGACCGGCTCAGGGACGGAAACATCGACGCGGAATCGGCGACACATCGCCAACAGATCGGCGACATGTCCCCCATAGCGAATCCGCACGCCCTCGGCGGCGTGGGCCTCGGGGGGGGGGGGGACAGCCGCTGGAGAGCACCCCCGGGCTGGACAGCCTCCAGGGCGGTCTCGGCGATCAATGGGCGACCGGGGGTCGCTGCGTCCCCCCTGACAGACGAAGCAGAAACGCCATACAATTGAACCCTTTGGCGCTCCGCGCGGATTTCTGGGATCTGCGCTGGACCCCCCTGGCGGCGCCTCCAGCGCCGCCTTTGGCGAGCTCCGCGCGACGGGGAGGGGAGTCCAGCGCGGATCCAAGAAATCTGCCGCCGAGGAAAACTTCAGAGATGGAGGAGCAGCAAAAACAAATAAACATGATCTTTTGGCGCTCCGCGCGGATTTCGTGGAACGCGCCACGGGCGGCGCCGGAGGCGCCGCCGCCGCCAGGGGCCAGCGCCGGGTCCAAGAAATCAGCACGGAGCGCCAAAGGTGTAGGTTATGGCGCTGTGTTTCTTCTTCAACCTGAGGCCTAGCCCCCTCTCCTCCTAATCCTCCTCCTCTCCTCCTCCTCCTCCTCATCTAATCCTCACACTCCAACCGTCCTCATCCTGCCTACTGGGATGGTGATGGCGTCCTAGTGAATCCTCCCTCATCTTCTCCTCGCCTCATCCTCTTCATCCTCTTACCTCCTCCTGCCGCATAATCCTAATACTCTACCATCCTGAAACTCTACTCCCCCTCATCCTTCTCATCTTCCTCCTCACTATCTCCTCCTAATCCTCTACCCTCCTCCTCCTCCTCCTCCTCCTCCTCCTCTTCCATTTCTTTTCTTTACAACTAATTCCGCCCAGTCGAACGAGCGGACCGGGCATTTCGCTTGAGATCTCCTCACACATTATGACTCTGAAGCTAAAACATTGGCAACAGCTTCGAATCTGGAGGGCGGGTCGTTTTCAAAATGTGGCTCTCGCCTGAGCGCCGCGCATGTTCGTTTTAAGCAGTTGCGGGAGTTTCACGGGTTGAGAGCGGGTCGTGTTCTTATGCATGGCTCTCGTCTTGGCGCCTCGTACTTTCGTTTTTACCAGTTGAAAGATTTCAGGGATTGAGGGCGGACCGTTTTCAAAATGTGGCTCTCGCCTTGGCGGCGCCGCACATTCATTCAAAACAATTGCAAGAGCTCCCTGTATTGATGGCTGCTCCTATTCAAAATGTGACTCTCGCCTAAGCGCCGCGCACATGTGATTAACAATTGCAAGAGCTTCACGGATTCCAATGGCCAGCGTACCAGAAACGGTGCTTTGGAAAGATTCAGGGTTATGAGGGTGCAGCAGTTATGTTAATTCGCTGTTGACATCGCAAGAATGGTGCTCTGGCACGATTCAGTATCGTCAAGACGCAACAGTCAGGTTGAACCGTGGCGTTGGAGTCCCGAGAATAATGTTTTGGCACGCTTCAGGCTCTTCAAACTGTTGTCTTCGAACGAGGCAGTTCCCTCAGTGGGAATGAACCGTTGTGTGGGGCCTTTGAAGAGGGAGCTTGGAGGGCGGGTTTATTCTAACATCGTTAATGACTCGTGGGTTTACACTGGTCCTCCTCCTCCTCATCATCCTCCTCCTCCTCCTCCTCCCCCTCCTCCTGCCCCTCCTCCTCCCTCCTCACTCCTCCCTCCTCCTCCTCCTCCTCCCTTCTCCCTTCTCCCTCCTCCCTTCTCCCTCCCCCCTCCCTCCCTCCTCACTCCTCCCTCCTACCTCCTCCCTCCTCCCTCCTCCCTCCTCCCTCCTCCCTCCTCCCTCCTCCCTCCTCCCTCCTCCCTCCCTCCTCCCTCCCCTCCTCCCGCCTCCCGCCTCCCTCCGCACCTTCCCTCCTCCCTCCTCCCTCCTCCCTCCTCCCTCCGTCCCTCCTCCCTCCTCCCTCCTCCCTCCTCCCTCTCAACTGCTCCTACCTCCTTCCCTCCTCCCTCCTCCTCCTCCCTTCCTCCCTCTCCCTCCTCCATCCCTCCATCCTCCCTCCTCCCTCCCCCTCCTCCCTCTCCTCCTCCCTCCTCCCCCTCCTCCGCCTCCTCCTCCTCCTCCTAACGTTGTCCCCCGGGAAGGGCCCCACCCCAACGGGCGGCAGCCTGTGACTGCCAAGGGCCGTACTTCTGCACCAGCTCCAGCTCCGTCCCGTCCTCTGGGCCCCGCTCGCCGGCGCCTCCCCCGGTTATAGGGAGGAGGAGGAGGAGGAGGAGGAGGAGGAGGAGAAGGAGGAGGCGGAGGAGGAGAGGAGGAGGAGGAGAAGGAGGGGGCAGGGGGAGGAGGAGGAGGAGGAGGAGGAGGAGGACGAGGAGGAGGAGGAGGAGGAGGAGGAGGAGGAGGAGGAGGAGGAGACGAGGAGGAGGAGGAGGAGGAGGGAGCAGGAGGAGGAGAAGAGAGGAGGAGGAGAGGAGGGGGAGGAGGAGGCGGAGGAGGAAGGATGGGAGGAGGAGGAGGAGGAGGAGGACCAGGAGGGAGGAGGAGCAGGAGGAGGAGGGAGGAGGAGGAGCGAGGAGGAGGAGGAGGAGGAGGAGGAGGAGGAGGAGGAGGAGGAAGGAGGAGGAGGAGAGGAGGCGGGCTCTTCCAAAATGGCGTCATGCACTCTGCGGGACCAGGCCTGCGGCTCCTGCTGCCGTCGAGCTCTAGCCTCGACCACCTGGGGCCGCGGAGAGTGGGCGCCTGCCGGAGTGAGCAAAGGGGAGGCGAGCACAGGACAGAGGGCGGCCCTTCTGAGGCCCGCCTCCGTTGGGCCCTCGGGGCCCATCCTCTTCGGGGTGGCCCGGAGCAGGAGAAGAAGGTCTACTTCCTCGTCTTCCTCCTCCTTCTCCTCCTCCTCCTCGCCAGCGGGGCAGCGACGTTGAGCAGCGGGCCAAGCGGGCCACCAATTTTGCCGTTTCCGCCCATCAAGCACGGAGGCCTGCAGTTGCATAGGGTGTGATGTGACACTGACACACTGACACTGCGCCCCCCCGTCACGCGGGACGGCCCTACGAGGGGCGGGGCGGGGGCGCTTCGGCGACGTCAAGTAAGTAAAGTAAATCTCACGCTGGGGAAAAGGGAAAGGAGGAGGAGGAGGAGGAGGAGGAGGAGGAGGAGGAGGAGGAGGATCACTCACCTTGTATTTGCCGTGGTCGCTGCGCGTAAGGGCGTGACGTGCGATGCAGCAGCGCAGGCCGAAGTGCAAGGAGGACATCACTAAGTGGTCCTGCGGCCCGCGGGAGCCTGGCCCCAGGCCCTCGCCCGCCCTTCGCCGCCGTACACCAAGAGGAGGTCTTCGGCACCCTCCCTGGACAGGCACCCCCCCGGGGGGGAGACCCTCCCGCGCCAGCGAAGGGTGCCTGCGTGGCGCCGACGCCGACGCGGCGATCGCTGAAGAAGCTGCTGGGAAAGCGACTGGGAACCCGTCTCCCGGCGACGCGCGAAGGGAGACCCGACGCACTCCACAAAGGGGCTGAACCGAAGGATTCCCGTGGAGGAAGAGGAGGAGAAAGAGGAGGAGGCGGAGGAGGAGGACGAGGAGGAGGAGGACGAGGACGAGGGCGAGGATGAGGAGGAGAGGGGAAGGGGGGGGAGGAGGAAGAGGAGGGGCCGGTGTTCGGGATGGAGGGAGCCCCGTGAGGGTGCCACGGACGGCCCGGGAATATCGGGAGAAACCCGTCGGATGCCTCGGCGAGGTGCATGGCGCCGCGGGCGGGGGGGGGCGGGACGGGGGAGGCGGGCAGGTCGCCTCGAGAGGAGATCTGCGGGAGCAGGGGCCTCGCAAGCAACTGGAACCAAAGAGGGGCCAGCTGGGCCTGAGAGAGAGAGAGAGAGAGCCAAACAACATCAACAACATCAACATCAACAACAATATCGACAACTATACCAACAACAACAACAACAACAACAACAACAACAACAACAACAACAACAACAACAACCACAACACCAACACTACCGACAACAATCACGCAAACAACCACCACAACCACAACCACAGCAACAACAGCAACAGCAACAACAACGACAGCAGCAACAGCAGCGGCAACAACATCTGTACCAACAGCAACAACACCACCACCGCCAACAACAACAACAGCACCATCATCAACACCAACAACTCTAACAGCAACATCAACACCAACAACGACCACAGCAGCAACACCAACACCACCAACAACAGCTATGACAACAATAGCAACAACAACAACGAATACCAAATCAACGCCAACATCAACACCAACAGCAACAGCAGCAGCAGCACCACCACCACCAGCAACAACATTAACACTACCGGTAACAACACGAACAACCGCAGAAACCGATGATACGAGGGGGCCCCTCTTTAGCACAGCTTGCGTTCCACCGCGAGGCCCGTGCAACAGACTAGCTGAGATACGGATGTGACCCTCATGGAGTGCACAATGGCCGTCGCTCAGCGAACATGTTCCAGGACGAGAACGGCGTCACGATGCGATCGGCTCAGAATGTGTTCGAGGAGTTCGGGAACACAATTGCGGCCCTCGTTTCGGGGGGCCGCGAGGAACGATAGGGAATCCAGGTCCTGCTCCTGCTCCTGCTCCTGCTCCTGCTCCTGCTCCTGCTCCTCCTCCTCCTCCTCCTCCTCCTCCTCCTCCTCGGACTAAACATGGTTCGGTTTGGGGCGTCGCGTGTTGCGGCGGCGGCCCCTGCGGCACGCTGTCTGACAGCGTGTCGCTCCGCCTCGCGGGGCAGCGGCGGGGAACCGCCTGAAACGCAGATGCCTGTGGACAGCAGCCTGCGTGCTTGGATTTTGCCATCCCGTGTCCCCCGAAAGCTGTCGACAAAAGGACACTCCCATGTTTACGTGCATCAGAAGGGGTCTGGAACGTGGTTCCCCGAGGCGTTCGGGTGTCCAAGCTGATCCTGAATGATCCCAAGATGGCACTGGACAGCCCCAGATGGCCTCCGAGAGTGACCAAGCTGGGCTAAGATGCTCTCATCATGCTTCCACGAGTCCTCACTACGGCTCGAGGACGGCTGGAGGTGGCCACGGGCCCTCCCAAGTATGCTCCCGAGGAGGTCAGACTCACCCAGGGACACTATGAGTGTCAATGATATGCGAATTCTGGCCTTTTCTAGTTTCATGGGAGCCCCAAGGAGGTTCAAAGACAGAATTTGGCGAACACGGGCGGCACATGTCGGTGGGCAGCCCAGGTCCTGGGTTCTCGGGTTTCGGGTTCTGGGCGTCTGGCATGCTGAGAAGTCTGCGGAACTGTGCCGCCGATTTCGGTGTGCGGCCTAGGCTTCAAGCATTTGCGACAACTTTCCGCCGAATTCAGGGGCGGATGGGTTCCCCACGTCCCAAATACGAAAAAAAAGAAAACGAAGCAGAAATCGAGAGGGAGAGAGGGTACGACATATGATACACGTACTCGATCTAGGTGTAGGGAATATCGTGATATGTGCGTACAAAGGTGCTTTCCAAATAGGCTTGCCCTGTCGGAGTCCTAGCTCATCATAAGTAACTGGTCTCGAGCCCCCCCTTGTTCCAAGGCCCCCCCCTTTTTCCAATGGCACTTGCTTACTTGCTCGTGCGTGCTTGCTCTCGCTTGCTTGCTCTTGCGTGCCCTTGCTTGCTTGCTTTTGGTCGCTGGCTCTTGCTTGCTTGTTATTGTTTGCTTCCGCTTGCTTGCTTGCGCTTGCTTGAGATTGCTCCTCCCGTCCTCCTCCCGTCTTGCTCCCGTCCTCATTTCGTCCTCCCATCCTCCTCTCGCCCTCCTCCTGTCCTCCTATCTATTTGGAGTCAACGCTGGCTGATATGTATATATATATATATATATATATATATATATATTATCATGCGCACCTCTCCGAGGGAGTACATAGAGCTCAGAGGCGATTAATGCGTACGCAGGGCGCCGCGTTCGCGATTGTTCTGGCCGTTTCGCTCGGGACATCCTCGAAATTTTGAACATCGGTGGCACCCCTCACGCAGATCGTGACGTCAGGGTCCAAAACACATGGGAATTTCAACATTCTAACATCAAACCTTCAAAAACACATTGTAATTTCAATTATTTTGACCCCGATTCTCAGAGAATGGCGACTTCGCCTGAGACATCCTCCCAAAATCGAGCCCAGACGTACCTTCTGGCACCCCAGACCCCGCCTCGGAGCCTCTTGGGAGCCTCCTGAAACCTCCAGGGGCCTCCTGGGGCTTTCTGTACCTTCTGGTACCCCAGACCCCGCCTCGGAGCCTCCTGGGGGTCTCCTGGAACCTCCTGGGGCCTCCTGCGACCTCCTGGAGCCTCTTGGGGCCTCCTGGAGCCTCCTGGGGTCCTCTGGGGCCTCCTGAGGCCGCCTGGGGCCTCCTGGGGCCTCAGAACTACATGCACTCACAGAGACACAAATCACGCCAAAAACATCACACGCTAGACAAACATAACACACACACAACACTTACAACGCACAGAAAACACGCACAACACAGAACACACATCACACACACAACACTCATAATCCCGGGGCCTCCTGGAGCCTCTTCCGTTATCCAAGTCGGGCCTCCTGAGGTTTCCTGGGGGGCCCTGGTACACACATCGGAAGGTGTGGCAACCCCACTTGCGCTCGAGTGCGACCTCGATCTTAGATTCGCCTGCGTTCACCTCCTGCCTCTTCCCCTTCTCTTAGGCACGCCCTGGCGGCGCCGCCCCGGCTTCCCCTTCTCCATCTCCGATCCTGCAGTCATGGTGTCTTCCTGTTTCAAACGCCCTTTAAGTGTTTTGTATGAGCCTGGGCACACACGTGCCACTTGTGTATGTATATATATATATATATATATATATATATATATATATGCATCTGTATGTCTATATGCTAGTATTCGTATAAGGTGAGACCGATAGAGAGAGATAATAACAACAAAGAAAAAGGGAGCGGGGGAGAGAAACAGAGACAGAGAGATAGACATAGAGAGAAGAGAGAGAGAGAGAGAGAGCGAGGCAGAGCGGAACGAATATAACGAATGAGGGGAGCGGGGCGAACGATTGATCTATATACACGTGGCATGTGCGTGCCCAGGCTCATCCAAACATATGTGCAGGCTGTCTGTGGTGTGTGTAAGGTGTGTTATGCTTGATGCTTGTTGTGTGTTTGTGCTTTGCGTTTGGTTGTGCGATGTGTGAATCATGTCTGAAATACATGTGTCATGCGTGTTACGTGTGTTCGGGGTGTTGTGTGTGTGCGTTGTATGTATGCTGTTTGTATTGGTTGTTTCGTGTTTCATGTTTGTGTGTTTTGTGCATGTGTGGGCGTGTCCTCAGTGTGTGCTGTGTGTTGTAGAGTTTCTGTGTGTGGTGTGTGGTGTGTTATGTGTTTTGTGTGTTAGAGTCAACCCGTAGAATCCGGACACACGATAAGGATGCAAGGGCCTTTGAAAACCAAGTCGACACTTTGCGAGCGGGGTACGGCCAGCGAAAGCAGCAAAGGATGGGCCGAAGGGGGAGGATGCAAAGGTAATCTTGGCAGGTTGCTCCTCCTTACTATGCGAGTTGACTGCGTTATGTGTGTATTCTCTGTGTGAATTGCACGTCGGGGTTCGATTTTGGATGGATGGTCTCAGACGGAGCTGATTATTCTAAGCATGCTATCAAAAAGGGAGTCGATTTTTGGAGGCTGATTTTGGCAAAACTGCAATTTTAAAACAATCTGCCTCAAACTCACTGAAATCCACTGTGCTTTTGAAGGGCTCATGCTTTTGAATCGTGACGTCGCAATCTGCGTCAGGGGTGCGTCCGGTTCTCAGGATGTTGAAGATGTCGCGAGAGAGACTTTGAGATAACGAGCACCAGTTTCACAATGAATCGCCTCGGAGCTCTACTCCTTCGGAGAGGCGCGTATGATAATGCCACTATCTATATGTAACTGTGTACAGAGAGAGAGAGAGAGACAAGGACAGAGAGAGAAAGAGAGAGAGAGAGAGAGCAAGCCAGCGAGGTCGTATTCGAGTAGAGGGTGAATAATATGGAAGCGAGCACAGAAAGTTGAGGATGGAGCACCTAGGGTGCAGGGTAGACAATGGAAGGTAGAATCCAAAAGGACCGGGGGAGGGAGCAGAGCACGGGGTAGAGCGCGACACGTCAAGAACATACCAACAATCTTAAGACGAACATCGAAAAAACAAAGAGTAAAAACACCGAGCATCAGATTCCTCATGCTGTTCTCTTGCCCGCCACCAGCTCGCTGTCCAACAGCGCACGGCGTGGGGAGGGGCGGGGGGCGGACCCCCCGCGACAAGCGTTACCTGGCGGCGCGCAGAGGGGGCATGGGGGAGGGGGGAAGGCCTCTCCGAAGGAGGCTGCTTCTTAGAAAGCTGCTTCTTATGGGCGGGGGGGGCCTTTCTTTTGTTGGTGTTTGTATATAGACGTATGTGCATGAGTGTATGTATGTATGTATGTATGTATGTATGGATGTATGTCTGTATGTATGTATGTGTATGTGTATGTGTATGTGCATGTGCATGTGTATGTGTATGTGTATGTGTATGTGTATGTGTATGTGTATATGTATATGTATATGTATATGTAGATGTATGTGTAGATGTATATGTTTATGTATATGTATATGTAAAGGTATATGTATATGTGTATGTAAAAAGAAAAGGACGACAAAACGTCAGGGAGAGCCGCCGCCGCCGCCTCGCCTGGCCCTCCTCTGAGCAGCCTGCCCCCCCCCCCCTCGCGCCGCGCGCGCGAGGCGGCGCCCCGCCCCCGCCCCCGGCGGCCGTGGAGGAAGAGCAGCAGCGGCCAGGGCCCGGGCGTCAGGGGCCTCCTGCGACCCCCCATGGTGCCAGGGCGGCGGCGGGGCTGCCAAGGGGAAGGTTTGCCATGCACCCGCTGCGCACTTTCTGAGGCTCAGTTGGGGCGTGTCCCCCCCTCATAAAAGGCGGATTTGGAACGAAGAATAGAAAAGATGGTCAAACAATACTCAAAAATATAATAGGAAAAGAATGCTCCAAGATTCGTCCCCAGGCTATTTGCGATTATTTCCGAATATTCCTCCTGTCGAGGGACAAGCCCGACTTAATCTTAGGGTGGAAGGCTCAGGGTGACATCCATACGGTAGGTTGGCGCGGCGTCGGCGGGCGCAGAGGCTCTTGACACCGCGCCGATCGCTCGACCTTGAATCGATCGCGGCCCCGATGGTTCGAGGTTGACTTCCGTCGGGCGTAGCGGCGATACCGTGTCCCTCGGCGCTTCCGCGACGTAAAATTCAACCTTGAACGCCTTGGCCGGCGTCGCTGGCGCGCCAACGCCGCACGAACCTACCGTAGGGGCTTTTTCACCTCGGAAACCCATCCGTCTTGTGATTCACCGTCTGCAGATTCGAGCCTCGAAGACCAGTTCAGACGGCATTCCAGATTCCACCCTCTGCCCTCCACCCGAGGAAAATGCTCGGACATACACGTGTATACGCCACGCTGGTCACGGGCAGGCTGTGCTGCCCGGCGGAAGGGGGCGAGGAGGGGAGAAGCAGACAGACGACGACGAACGCCCAGGCGGGAGGCCAGGGCCGGCGGGGCGGGGCGGGCAGGCAGAAGAGGAGCCCGGCGGGAGCCCGCGCGACCTCTCGCCTCGCCTTGGGTCGGGCACGTCCCCCTACAGGCGGATTTCGGACGAAAAATACAAAAAAGAGTCCAAACATACCCAAACACATGTTCAAAAATGGTCGAAAACCACCGTCCCCAGACGATGTGTGTTGACTGCTTTGAATATTCCTCCGGTAGGGGGTCCTGCCCGACTTAAGCCTCGCCCTCGCCGTGATCTGAAACGAAGCCAGGACGAGGAGAAAATCGGGTGAGGATACCTCCAAAATCTTCGAGATCCGGCGAACCCTCCGAGAGCTTTCCGGAACGCTCTGGAACGCATGCATCCTCGTCCTGGCCCAGTCCGATGAACCCCCCTCCCCTCCAAGCCTGGGCTGGATCGACCGGCGACCACACAGACATGCTCGCGTTGTGACAAAAATCGCGACGGGCCGTGGTTCGCTACTTTTGGCGGCCTGGAAATGGGCACCACGCCAACACAGGGGGTTTGCCTCCACAGGGGGAAGATGATCCTAGATTTCGGTGTTGGTAGTAATACTTCGGCCACCTTGGAAGCCAGAATACAACCACCATCATCAAGATCGGGATCTTCTTCCCTCGGTAGAGGCACACCGCCGAAATTGCTGTTGGTGTCAACCTCTGGGCCTGCGATACTTTGGGCTTCTCGGGGCCCTCGCCAAGCCTGGGGACCGTCAAGGCACAATTCAGGACGGGAAGCCCATCCTGCGGAATGAATCTAGTTTAACCGATCCCCATCCCCAGCGGCGTGGCCCGGGCCCCACTGGCCGACTTGCCCCCCTGGATGGGGATGTGGGCTGCTCCCTTCGGGTCTCGAGGGGTTTATTCCCAACTGGGGTGGCAGGAGGAGGAGGAGGAGGAGGAGGAGGAGGAGGAGGAGGAGGAGGAGGAGGAGGAGGAGGAGGAGGAGGAGGAGGAGGAGGAGGAGGAGGAGGAGGAGGAGGAGGAGGAGGAGGAGGTGGAGGAGGAGGAGGAGGAGGAGGAGGAGGAGGAGGAGGGGAGGAGGAGGAGGAGGAGGAGGGAGGAGGAGGAGGAGGAGGAGGAGGGGGGGAGGAGGAGAAGGAGGAGGAGGAGGAGGAGGAGGAGGAGGAGGAGGAGGAGGAGGTGGGGGCCTCGAATGGGAGGTGGGGGGTGGGGACGGGGGTCGGTGAAAAGCGACACCGAGGGACGGGGCCCCCGGCCTCCGAGTCGCCCGCGCCGTGCAGGAAAGCCTGCGACGCCGCCCGCCCGGGCGGCGGGCGCCGCTCGGCAGGGGTTCGGGCCGCCGGCGAGCCGCCCCGAAGCGCACCGAGGGCGGGACGCCGCGGCCGTGGACGAGCGCGTTCGACTGCTCGCAGAGTGCCTACGGGGCAGGGTTTAAGGCAAGGGATTTTTGTTCAAACACATATGACTTTTCACACAGGATGAATTCATGAATGCATTCGTGCATGAGCTCCTCGTTGTTCTTGGTACTGAATCCTGGCATGTTTGATACATGATCCGCACGCGGAGCATGTATTAAAAACGGCACCGTGCTCGCACAGAGCCCGGATCCGCCGCGGGGGATCTTCGACGAATTGCATATCGAAGCAGGCGTGTGCCTTTTTTCGGGCGCCTGCGAGCATAGGCACTCCGCGAGCAGTGGGACGCGCCCGGCGAGGCCATCTCCTCGCCATCGCTCGGACGTCCATTCCCTGTGTGTTTTTTGTCGGTTTCGTGCGTGGCTTGTTCGCCAAATGATTCAGGATGCTCCTCGGTGGTCCTCGCCGAAGGAACAATGCACACGCCCGAGCGATGCCGAGGGGTGAGTCGGCTCGGGCGACAGGGGGGGATAGCAAGGGGGGGGTTGAGAATCGGCTCACGTATAGCTGATTTTCCCGGCGCCGCCCGGCGCGGGGGCGGGAGGAATGGGCCCCTCGGTGGGGCCGAAACCAGCCGCATGCAGCAGATTTCGTTACCCCCCCTTTCCCTATCCCCCCCCCATCCTCCTCCTCCTCCTCCTCCCTCCTCCTCCTCCTCCTCCTCCCTCCTCCCTCCTCCTCCTCCTCCTCCTCCTCCTCCTCCTCCTCCTCCTCCTCCTCCTCCTCCTCCTACCTCCTCTCTCCTCTCCTCCTCCTCCCCCTCCTCCTCCTCCTCCTCCTCCTCCTCTCCCCCTTTCCCTATCCCCCCCTTTCGCCCGGCCCGAGCGAGGCCAGAACCCGGCCGGCCTCGGCCGCGGCCGGCGCGCCGAGCCGCGCGGGGATCGGCTCGGCTGCGCCGCCCCAGCCGGCGGGTGGAAGCGCACGGGGTCGGATCGCAGGCGGCCCTGCCCTACAGGGCAGGTTCTAATACACAGGAGTTTCAAATATAGGATTTTAAAATATAGGATTTTGAAAATCCGATATTTTCAAAATATGGGATCTTCAAAATATCAAATTTTCAATATATAGGATTTGCATAAATAAATACACGGTTAAGTTAGGAATAGATTTATGCATGAACTCATCGTTGCTTTTCATACGAAATTCTTGCATGCTTAAGACATGTTCCGCACGCGGAGCATGTGTTAAACACGGCACTGTACGCTTAGGTCGGACATGTCCTCCTGCAGGCGGATTTTGGAGGAAATGTAAAAAATGGCCCAACACTGTTCAAACACAGTACAACATAGTTTAAAAAGATCGTCCCCAGAGCATGTTTTGACTGTGTTTGAATATTCCTCCTGTAGAGGGACACGCCCGACTTAACCCTACGCGCACCCTGTCTCCGCTCCCGCCTGCCCCCCACCCGCGAGGACGAGGCGGGGGGGAAGAGGGAGCAGGGGAGACGGGGTGAGAGGGGAGGGGGAACATGGGAAGGAAGACGGAAGGGGGACGGGGGGAAGGGGAGGAGAGGGGAGAAGCCCTCCTTCCTTGTTTCGCTTTTCCCTTTCCCCCAGGCCGATAATTATCCTGGACGACGAAAAAAGGGCCTCCCTCTCCCCTCCTCCGTCGGCGGCCGACGGCCGCCGCGCTGCGCTGCAGGGCACAGACCCTTGCGGCGCGTCAAATAGCGGAAAATAGCGGAGGGGAGAAGAAGAAAAGAGGGAAGTGGGAAGAGGCTATGCGGCTACAGTGGCGATCGTCAGCGGTGGTGCCCGAGCCCAGGAAGCGCCAGGCAGCGCACCCTCCTTCCCCCCCCCATTTATCGCAGCCCCATTGCTCGACGCCCGACTGGAAGGATCGGCGGCTTCCCCGTCGCCAGAACTTTGGGCCACTGGCGTGGTGCCACTTCACCTTCACTTGAAGCAGCAAAACGGTGAGGGGAGGGGGGGGGGCTAGTGGCTAGTGGCGGTAACGCCTGGGCGGGGTGGGGCACGCGGACGCTGAGGACGATGAGCGAACGTCACCTGGGGGGCAACGTCAGATTCCACATCTGCGCAGCGCGCGGCCCCGCGCCGCCCACGAGGCAGCGAGGCGGCCTCAGGGAACGGCCGGCGGCGGCGGCACAACAGCGCTCTTACTGTCTCCTCCTCCTTCTCCTCCTCCTCCTCCTCCACCTCCTGAATCGCCTGAATCGCCCCTCGCGCTGCCCCTGGCGCGACAGGGGCGGGGGGGGGGGGCACGGCCCAACCGGCCGAGGCCCACAGGAGCGTCCCGGTCGGCACGGCCTTCCCCCCGGGGCCCGCGCTGCTCGTCGTCGTCGTCGTCGTCGTCGTCGTCGTCGTCGTCGTCGTCGTCGTCGTCGTCGTCGTCGTCGTCGTCGTCGTCGTCGTCGTCGTCGTCCTCGTCGTCGTCCTCGTCGTCGTCCTCGTCGCCGTCGTCGTCCTCGTCTTCGTCGTCGTCGTCATCGTCGTCGTCCTCGTCCTCGTCGTCGTTTTCGTCGTCGTCGTCGTCGTCGTCGTCGTCGTCGTCGTCGTCGTCGTCGACGTCCACCTCCCCCTCGAGATGCAGGCGGCGGGGGAGCAAGAGGAGGAGCAGGACGAGAGGACGAGGACTGAGGGCAGCGAGGCACAGGAGAAGTGAGGAGCAGGAGCGCTCCCATCATACTATCCCCGCGAGGATTTCTTGAATACGGCCTGGACCCCCCTCCCTGACGCGCGGAACGCGCCAAGGGCGGCGCCCGAGGCGCCGCCGGGGGGGGGGGGGGGGCAGCGTGGATCCAAGAAATCTGCGCGGGGCGCCAAAGGTTTATGTCTATGCCGTTTTTTCCTCTTCGACCCCACTCATCCTCATCCCCGCCGCCACCACCACCGCCGCCACCACCGTGGCTCGCCAACCGCCAACGGCGGCACGTGGGAGAGCACCCGCCGCCTGCAGGGCGGGCCCCGGAGTCCTGGCCACGTACCACAGGCCGGCCACCTGCGCCCGCTCCTCGCCGCCGCCCATGCGCCCGGCGCCCCGCCCGCGCCGCGCATGGGGCCGGGATGGCGGCCGCGGAGCGGCCGGCCCCTCCGCGGAGCTGTGCGGGCGCCTGCACGGGCGCTTGCGCGGGGCCCTCGTTGGAACCCCCTTTTGATGGGGCCACGAAGCGCTGTGTTGGGTGGGGGGGGCGCACGTGGGCACCGCCACTGGGGCCGTAGGTGGAGCTCCGTAGGTGGAGCTCCCTAGGGGACCACGAAGCGCAGTGCTGGGTGGGGGAGATGCATGTGGACACCGCCACTGGGGCCGTAGGCGGACCTCCCTACGGGGCCACGAGTCGGAGTGCTGGGTGGGGGATCGTCGTCCTGAACGAAGCATGACGTCGGGGGTCTGGGTCCATTGGCACCGAAGTTTCCGCGATCTCGGCAGACAGCGCAGGGTTCTCTCGTCCTTGCGAAACATCGGCGCTCCTCGACAGGAGGGCGCTGGCAACGGTGCCTTTCGGCATGTTTCGGCGCGCGGTCGGTCCCTGCCACATGCACGCGGTTGCGTATCGCTCTGCTTTTGAGGGGTGGCGGATCAGGATCATGAGGCTGACCAGCGTATACCCAAAATGCAGAAACGATGCTGCAAAACAGACTCCCGCTCCAAGACACCACAACCGCACACTTTTGTTTTACAAAGTGGGAAAATGCCATTATGGCGAGAGTCCCGTTTCGAAAAGAAAACTCGCAGCTTTGTGCCCTTCTGGCGAGTAATGAAGAATACGCGAAGCCTCAACCATTCTCCATGAAGCCCCTTGACGCCCAAATGGCGAAACTTTTCCATATCCTGGTGGACCTCTTGTGCGCGCGTCCAAGATGCCACGCGCCTGCAATGTCGGCCTCAAGTGTCCTCAAGCGTCCCCATCATCCGCCTCCTGCTCCGCCCCTCGTCCTCCCTCTCCTCCCTCTCCTCCCGTTCCTCCTCCTCCTCCTCCTCCTCCTCCTCCTCCTCCTCCTCCTCCTCCTCCTCCTCTTCGTCCTCCTCAGCATCAGCATCAGCAGCAGCATCATCATCATCATCACCATCACCATCATCCTCATCATCATCACCATCACCACCATCATCATCATCACCATCACCATCATCATCATCATCATCATCGTCATCATCATCATCATCATCATCATCATCATCATCATCATCATCACCATCATCACCATCATCACCATCATCATCATCATCATCCTCTTATTGTTATGGGCGATCACTCCTCTCTCCTCCTGCCTCCTGGACGCCGCGCGGGGCGCGCTCCTTTTCGCGCCGCGGCGGCGGGCACCCCGTGGCGCGAGCGCGGCCGAGCCCCAGGGCGCCTGACGCCCGCGGCCACCAGCTGGCCGCAGCCCCCCCCCCCCCCTTGCCCTCGCAGGGGGCGCCTCCTGGGGAAGGGCCTCCGCCAGCGGCGGGGCAGCCTCCGCCAGAGGCGGGCAGGCTGGTGGGGGCCGCGGGGGCGACGCGCGGCCGCGATCCACTGGGCGCCCCTCCTCCGCTCAGCCCGAATCAAGAAAACCCCGTAGAATCCGTCGGTGTCGAAGACACTCAGGCTGCGGGGCGGGTCGGTGGCCCCGGGCGACTGCGGCCAGGAGCGGAGGGGCGAGCGTTCGCACTAATAAACGAAGCCGAATATCTAATACTCACTCCTCTCTCCTCCTGCCTCCTTGACGCCAAGCGGCGCGCGCTCCATTTCGCGCCGCGGCGGCGGGCGCCCTGTGGCGCGAGCGCGGGCGAGCCCCGGGGCCCCTGACGCCCGCGGCCGCCAGCTGGCCGCAACCGCCCCCCCCCCGCCCTCGCAGGGAACGCCTCCTTGGGCGCGGGGGGCATCCGCCAGCGGCGGCGCGGCCTCCGCCAGAGGCGGGCAGGCGGAGAACCGCGGCGGCGACGCGCGGCCGCGATCCGCTGGGCGCCCCTCCATGCCCCCCAGGTTGACGATGTAGGGTGGCATTGGGCTGGCCGGGGGCTCGCAGCAGGCGGCGCAGAAGCGCCTTGCCCTTGCCCATGAGGGCCTTCTCCCGGCTCGCGAGGCGTCCGCGCTCCAGCATAGCCGCGCCATTCTGGATGTAGATTTTCGCCGTTGGCTGGTGCCTCCAGCAGCCCCGAACACAGGACTTGCTCAAGCTGAGGATGACCTGGAAGTGGTGCGCGGCGCCTCCCCGGCGCAAGCTATAAGTGCGATATCGATTAGGATTGGCCCTGGTCTTTGTCGCCAAGCAACAGAATTTGGCCCTGAAGCTTGCGGCCCCTCGGGGGAAAAGCTGGGCCCCGCCTGGCGCATTGCCCGGCGCCTTAGCCAAGGGAACTGCTGCCTCGAACTCGTCTATGACGATGTGCTCGGCCGCGCCAGCATGCTCGCCGCCCTCGGCGAAGCCGATGTTGATGTGGGCCAGGCCGCGGTCAAGGTCCAACGTGAGCTGGGTTAACTGCAGCATCGCCTCAACGGGTCACAGGAAACCGCTGAAGCTCACGAGCACCGCGGCGCCCATGGCCGCATCTCCCTCGGACATGGCGAAGCCTGCCATGGCCAACGCCTGCGCAGACAGCATGAGCCCGGTACTCGAAGGGCTTATTTCTTCGAGCAGGTCGAACACATCCGCCACGAGTCGTTGAGCGCGCGCCTCAGGCAGGGAACGAAGTGCTGCAGGCCCGACAAGACGTCGCCGACCACGGGCTCGGGCTCGCCCTGCGCCCAGCACCCTTCCAAAAACTCCCCGAGAACCTCGCCGGCGGCCGCGGCGGACTCGGGCGTTGGCTCATTGCGGCTGGCGAGCCACTTGAAGAGAAACTTGGAGGCCCCAGCGTAGCCCTTCAGCTTGCGCGGCTGGAGCTGGAGTGATCGTAGCGTGCCTGCTGCTGCTGCTCGGTAGCGTCGCCTCTGCTGTCTCGCGCCGTTCGCTAGCGCGGTCACCGCCGTCGGCTTGGCGCGCCGGCTGGATTGAGCCCCGACCTCACGAAGACGCAGGAGGGCTGGCACGACGTCGACAGCAGGAGCGCGCCCAAACGCATGAGCAACATTTGCAATAGCGAAGAAGTCGACCTGCCCTCGCAGGCCACAGCCATGCACACTTGAGAATCACAGAAGTGAATCAGGCGACCTCCCAGGGCGGCGGTCGCGCGCAGGCGCCGCCGAAAAGTGCCGCATGACACGGCGACCTCCGCCCTGGAGAAAGGCGAGACACACTCTCCACTGCCGCATGTGAGCCTCTACCACGGCGCGGCCAGCCAGCTGGGTCGCGCGCGAGCCCGCTCGCGATGCGCACGTCGCTGCCTTTGCAGATGGCAGAGCGGGCCAGGCCCTCGCACATCGCATCGCACACCTCCTTGCAGCTCGCTCTGGAGAGGGCCTGGCCCAGCAGCTGGCTGACGTGCTCGTCCGCCTCGACGTCGCGAGCGCCCCGGCACTCGGCGATCGTCGGCGGCCGCGCAAGCGCAACTGCAGCCACGAGGCCGCGGCCCAGCAACATCGCCGCCGCAGGGGCCGAGAAGGCGTTGCCGTGGAGCCCGCAGCGCACGCCCTCCACCGCGCGGTCGGAAAGACCCGCGGACTTGGGCACAACCCAGAGGTAGTGCTTGGCTGGAAAGCCCAGCCGCGCAGCTCTCTCCGCGCTGGTCAGAGGGCGGAAGTGCCCCTGGCTGTCGAACACCATGTTTCCGAGCTTGTACTTGTAGGGCGCGTAGCGGTACTGGTCTGCCTCCCAGCGAGCCCTCGCGGAAGGTCCAGTGCCCGCGAGGCCCGCGGGGGTGTCTGGCGGCATCTCGCGAGGGATGGGGCGCGCGATGGTCGCCCAAGCGCCATGCTCTCCCCGCGGAAGGCTCGCCCCGCGCTAAAGCCACTCTGCCCGGGGCGGCCGTGCCCCTCGGAGCGCCCCACAGATCACTCCTGCATCCAGCTCCCAGCAAAACTCAGGGGTCTCAAGGCCCAGCGGAAAGTCGGGCCAGTGCAACCTCGGCCTCCTGGCAGGATTGCAGCCGCTCGCGCAGGGCTCGATCGGCAGCGAGCCAAGCACGTTGGTGAACTGGCGGCGGCCCTCCTCGCTCATGGAGCCGACGTTCTCCGCGAGGGGCAGCGCCGCGAGCTCAGGGCGCGCCTCCCGCGCCCATGCGGCGACGCGGGAAATTTGCCGAACCGGCTGGGCGCGTGGTTCGGCCCAGCCACCTGTGGCCACGCTGGCCCGCGCGACGCCCTGGCAGGGCGACCCGCCAAGGGCGACCAACGCCAGCAGGTGGGGCGCTCGCGCCAGGAGGCAGCGCAACGACTCGGACGTGATTTCGCGGACGCCCCCCGTCGGGGGTGGACAAACCTCCCTGCGGTAAACCTCCCCTTAGTGAAAATGGCCTGGGACCGAAGCCGACGGACCTGGACCGGCAAAAACGACGGCCGCGACGCCCTCTCGCAAACCGAGAACGGCCAATTTCTCATTCGACGTGTCAGGGTAGGAGGTCTATCCACCTCCGACCGCAGCTCCACACAGTCGGGCCAGCGATGCTGCGCCACCCGCTCGGCTGGCTCGAGGACCTCGGCGGGGGCGTGGAGACAAACCTCGATCCCGAGCCTCTCGAGGGCCATCCGTCCCCAGCCGACACCCCCGAAGAGCTCAATGATGCCGACCTCGCCCCTGCTCGCACCTCGACCCTGGGCCAGGACTGAGGGCGCCGAGTCATGGAACTCGGGGCGGAGACGCCTCGTCCAGCAGGCTCCGCCACCCCTCTCCGACGCGTCGCTGGCGGCGATGATGCTACCCACGGGCGCGCGGAGGTCAAACTCGCGCAGTTGCGGCAGGCTGAGGGCGCAGACTAGCTCGGCGCAGACGTCAGCCGCCAACGCGGTCCTCCTGCCACCATCCCAGTGGACGACGGTGCGCCACAGCCTCCGGAAGACCGTGCCGCACTCGCGCCTGAAGCAGCTCAGGTGGCATCAATGTCCTGCGACCACCTGAACCTCCTTCCTGCTGACCTCCTGCGCAAGCAGGTGGGCCGTCAGCTGGGCACAGGACGCTGCCCTGGAATGGGGGAGCTCGCGCGCGCCCGTCTCTGCCACCGACCGAGGCCCCGAGCCGCTGGCAGGAGGCAGCCCGCGTCCCATTCTTCTCGCTTAGCGGCGCGTCTCGCTCGGCGTTGCGGTCGCGCGCGTCGGAGGCGAAGTCCTCCGCGGGCCCCGAACCGCCGCGCGCGAGCTCGGCGTAGTCCGCGTCGTCGCAGCAGACCTGCCAGGGCCTCGAGGCCGCGCCCTCCCGCAGCGCGGGGAACGATCTGTTCCTGCGACCCTCGCGGCCCCCTGGCGGCGGCGAAGGCCCCAGTCCGACATCGGAAAGCATGCGCCTGCGCGCGTGCTGCACCAGACCCATCGCGCTCTTGTACCCCGCCGGCACGGCGACTGCCCCGAGGTAGACCTGGCCGCCACAAGAAGGGCCCACCCCCAGGATCGCCGCGCCGAAGACCGCGTCGAAGGCAAACCGCGGCGCCCAGGGGTCTGGCAGCCTGAAGTGGTAGAAGGCGCCCTCACGGTCACCGAGCGACCGCGCAAGCTCCTCGTCGGGCCCCGGCACGATGAACTTCCACTGCGCGATGCAGGGCGCGGCCCCTATGTCCCAGCCGTAGTCGAGCGACGCCTAGTTCGTCGCAGTGGGGTTCATGATGAGCCTCAGCACCTCCCTCCCCTCGGGGTCTTCAGGAGCGATCTGGCTCTTCGGCGCGGCGAACAGCCCATTGAGCAACTGCTCGCCCTGGATCTTCAAAAGGCACGCCTCCCGAAAGGGAGTGACAAGCCCTCGCGCCAGAAGACCGCGCGCCAGCGGGAGCAGCGACGCCTGCTCGCACATGACACGCCGAGGCTTCGGGCGGACTGGCGCCCCTCGCCCGGCGGCATCAGCGTTGCGACCGGGTCTTTGAACCAGCGAGCCACGGCATGGCTGCCGCGCGCGCGTCGCAGAGGTCCTCGGCCCGCAGCGACGCGCACCGTTCCTTGGGCGGTAGCCCAGGCAGGACCCGCGCCCAGCTCAGCTCCTCGGCTCGGCGGGCCGCATCCCCGGTATAGCTGGTGCTGCGCGACGCCAGAAAAGGTCGACGCGTCGGTCGTCGGCGGCGGCTCAGGCCGTGGACCCAGGAACGCCTCGACGCGGCGCTCCAAGGTCCAAAAGGCACGGACCCGAGCGGAGGTGACATGCCGCGACTGTCCGAGCGCCGACGGCTCAGGCCAGCGCGCGTTGCCCTCGAGCCACGTGGTGTTGAGCGCCACGATGCACCACTCTAGCCATGCCCCCAAGCCTTCTGGCTCGGGAAGGGCCCCCTCCTTCCAGCCCAGACGCCGTTCTCCGCGACCGCCCGATGGGTCCGCGTCTGTCGGCGAAGGTGCTTGCACCCGCGCGCCCTCCCCGCGGGGGGCGGCAAGATGCCCCTCCGACTGCGGCCCCTGCCGCCTGGGCCCCCGCGCGGTGCCGCCGCGGCGCTGGGGCCGACCCCTGGCAGCTCGGCGGGGAGGCGCGCGCGGGGCAGCTCGCCGACGGCGGACAAGTCGGTGCCCTCGAGGGCGCCGGGCTGGAGAACCTGTCTCAGCCTCTCCAACAGCTGTTGGGCCGTGAAAGCCAAGCACTCTGCCTCCATTGGGAAATGGCTGGTCGACCCCGCACTGCCTCCTGCCTCTCAGGCAGGGCCTGCCCCCGCGCGGCATTGGGGCCCGCGCCGCGGGGGGGCCTCTCGCCCGCGCGCGGGCGAGGCCAGCGGGCATCCCTGGCTGGGCTGCCGCCGCGGGCAGCCTCCCTCCTGGCCTTCGCGGCCTGGCGCATCTTGACGAAGAAGGCCGGCGTCCCTGCATGCCTTCCCCTTGCCCCAGCCTCCGCCCTTGCCCCGGCCACTGCGCTGCCCCCGCCCCCCGATCTCGACGCGGGTCTGGGCCTGGCGCCCGAGCCGCCCTGGACCGATGCCATGGGCAAGATGCGATCCTGGAACGACTGCCTGTCCTTTCCCCTACGGTGCGAGCGAGCGTTTGCTCGAGCGCCCGCGCCTCGCAATGGCTTTCTCTTGTCCTACCTCCTCGTCGCCCTCGTCCTCCTCGTCCGCGTCTCCTGTGGGGCTGCTGGAATGGATGCGGACGACGGCAGCGACGCCCTTGCGCTTGGGGGTAGGCAGCAGCTTCCCATTGACCACCTTGTCCCGGAGCCTCTCGAGCGTGTCCCGCAGACCGCGCTCGCTCCCAGCCGCAGCGGGGACGTGGGCGCTCGCGCCGCCTCCTGGGCATCCCGCTCAGGCGGGGCCTCCTCCGCCTCCTCGTCGTCGCCGACGGGCGCGGAGGGCTCGCGGATCTTGGCGGCACTCGAGGGGCGGTCCTTCGCCTTCGCCTTCGCCCGAGCGGCGGCCATGGCCTTGCTGACCCTCTGGCGCGAAGCGTCCTCGCCCGCATGGCCCGCGAACGGCAGCCTCGAGTATGGCCAGCGCC